CAAGTCATTGGATTATTTTATCATCTGAACTACAGAGGATTGACTTTTTTCCTTTCCGCAGCGCTGTCACGTTTTGCCTTTGGCCATAACAAGAACCTAAAATCAGTTGCTGTTGCTAATTGGAAGCCTCAGTCAAAATCTGTGCTTACTTCTTTGCCTTCTTTCCTGATCAAGGGTGCAGGTAGTGTCCATACAACCCCAAGCCGCTACATGTCGCAAGGAAGTATAGTTTCATCTACAGTTTCTCCTTTATTGGGAGTTAAGAATGAGAGCCAGTCAGTAGTTCGTGATGGTAGATTCTCCACTAGCAGTCCCCTTGCTAACCTGGAATACTGCACGGATCTCCTCTTTCTGATGATCCATCACAGGATTCTGATTCTGGCATATTGAATGATTGTGTTAGCAAGGGAGGTTTAAACCACACAAGACCAAGACCACTAGAAAATACATTCTATTTGAAGTGTGTATTGGCTATCTATACTCTGGCAAAGGATCCATCACCACATGTTGCAAGTCTTGGTCAGCGAGTGCTGTCCACTATTGGTATTGAACAAGTGGTTGCTAAATCTGTGAAGTCTAGTGGTGAAAGTGTACGCCCTGTTGAATCAACGAGTACTCCAAATCCTCGTCTTGCTGGACTAGCTCATTCATCATCTTGGTTAGAATTGAATGGAGCTATATGATCATTCTTGGTATTGTAATGTGCAGTTTGTCAATTGATGATTGTCGTTTGAGGAGTGAATCTGTCACTGAATAAATGTTGGAAGTTGCAATCATTTGTCCTGCACTGTAATTTTAGTGCAGTTCCTTCCTCTGATTTGGCATTTTGGATGTTTGTTATTTGTTTGTATTCTTTCTATTATGGCTTATTTGTTATAAATTTCCCTTTGTTTTCTGCAGTTTTAGCAGGCCATTTTCCGCTGACATTCAGAACCCTCCTGTTAGTCCTTCTAGATCAAGCTACTTGGAAATGCGAAGAGTTTGCTCCCCAGAATTAAGGCCACGTCTGATGAATTCTCCAGACTCAGGGTTAGCAGATCTACGTTTAGGTTCTGATGAACAATCTGGGGTTTCAGAAACCAGTTTTTTTCGACAATCAACTATTTATAATTGGAGTTGTGGTCACTTTTCATAGCAACTTCTTACTGCAGCAGATGATGGTGAAGAAATGATTTCTAGAAGAGAAGAGAGTGAGAAAATTGCCCTGGACCACATATTGAAATGACAACTTTCTTGTGAGTCTGCTTAACTGAAGGGTGTTTACATCAAAATGCTGCCTTCTCTTTAGGATTCAAATAGTATTTATTGATCTTCTTTCTCAGCTGTGACTTGTGAGTAAACTACATAATAAAATTGCCAGTTGGGACACAATTTGGAACTGGCACCAAAGCTGCTTTGCTGCAGCCCTTCTTGCCTGTTGTGATTGCTGCAGACGAGAAAGAAAGGATAAGGTGGGCAAATTTCAGTATGCCAGATTCATAATTTCTGTGATTGTTTCATTTATTGCTTTGGTTTCCATTTCTTGGGCTTGGGGTTTTGTGTAATGTCTAACTGGGTTTTAATTCTATATTGCTCCATCAATCTGCAACAGTTTTCAGATTTTTGGGTCTGACATGAGGTTGAACATTAGGGAATATGAGAACAAAGCAACAAATATAGAATCACAACTATTCAAGAACATTTACCAGTATTGAACACCAAGATGAGAGTATAGATGTATCTCGACCTAATAAAAGAAGAAAAGGAAGTTGGTGAGGAGCTTTGTTTCCATTTACTGAAACTGCAGTTTTAACTTTTTAAATGCTAAACAATGTTAGTATAAAACGGAGAAGAGTCAAAGCATAAAACTGGCAATTTGAAATTTCTATGTTTGTGTTGCCTTGGATGAGGCTTTTCTGTTTCTTGGTTTATGATGCTCTGAGTTGTGAAGTTGCAGAGCCTACTGCTGTGTTATGCATGGGCATGATTTAGAATTTCTTTGAACATCATGTGACTTTAGTGAACTAGCCACATCTTTTGTGCATAGTCACATTTTTTTTTATATAAAACCAAGTTTTGATGTGGTTAATTTTCTCTTGCGGAGCTCTGAAAATTATTTTCAATTTTATTAGGGTTAACTTTTATGTGGCTTCAGTCAATTCAATTCGTTTTTATGGTTTTTGGGCATTTTGTGTAACATGTCGATTTCCTGGTGCATGTTATGTTAGGGTCTGGAATTATGAGGAAGATACACTGCTTAACAGCTTTGATAACCATGATTACCCTTACAAAGGAATTTCAAGGCTGTGTCTAATTAATGAGCTTGATAAGAGCTTGCTTCTTGTTGCTTCAAGGAAATCTTTTTCTGCATTGTTCCAGTAGGCAGACACTTGTACAGATTTCTTATCCATGCTTGATTTTAATTATATCTGAATCATAATGAGCTTTTCTTAATATAGAAGATGGACATATCCGGATCTGGAAAGATTACATGTCAAAGGGGCATCAGAAATTAGTTACTGCATTTTCTTCAGTTCAGGGTAACAGACCTGGTGCACGCGGTGTAAATACTGTTGTGGATTGGCAACAGCAGTCTGGATATCTTGTATGCTCCCTCTATATACTGTAATAGGCAGGTGTTAACTGATATGGGGATAAGTGTGCTAATTTTAATTTGTCGTGTATTATTTTTCTGATGCATTTTCTTGGTGAGTCCAAACTAGTTTACATCGGGTGAAATGTCATCTATCATG